ATCCTACTGGATGCCTCTGTCTGTTTTCTCCCTCATATCTACAATAAATCATCTTCTCCACCATCTTCTTTTTTTCTTTAAATTTATTTTTAAATATTTATTTATGTATTATGTATACAGTGTTCTGCCTGCATGCCAGAAGAGGGTGCCAGATCTCATTACAGATGGTTGTGAGCCACCATGTGGTTGTTGGGAATTGAACTCAGGACCTCTGGAAAAACAGCTAGTACTCGTAACCGCTGAGCCATCTTTCCAGCCCCCAACCATCTTTTATTTCTTTTTTTTTTTTTTCATTCAGGAAAAAAGTTGCCTATCATGTGATTTATTTCACCATAGCATAAGTGACAGAGAGTATTGAACAGCCAGATGTTGATTAGGACTGTAAATCAGGGGCTGCTGTTAGGCCCCTATCAGACAGCCTCTAAATATGTCAGCAAGTAGAAGGAAGGCAGGGCTTGACCTATTCAGACTGTGGGATCATGCAAAACAATGTTCTAACAAAAGTTTATGAGAACTACAGTCTGGAATCATTACAGTTTCAGTGTTTCTTTGTTTGCTTCTTTGTTTCTTTCTTTCTTTGCGTCTTTGTTTCTTTGTTTCTTCCTTCCTTCCTTCCTTCCTTCCTTCCTTCCTTCCTTCCTTCCTTCCTTCCTTCTTTTCTTTCTGTTTTTTTGCCCCCAGAGTTTATCTGTATAGTCATGGATATCCTGGAACTTGTTCTATAGACCAGACTGGCCTTGGACTTACAGAGCTTCCCCTGCCTCTGCCTCCAGAGTACTGGAATTAAAGGAGTGTACCGTAAGAACCAGGTTTCACATATCCTTGTTGTACATATCCTGATTTTTTTTTTGCACTGACTAAAACAATAGGCTCATGAGGACTTCCTGCCTTCTGATGCTGTTCCTAATCTCTTTATATTTAGGACTTAACACAGACAATGGTAATCAATAATAGATACTAGAAACAATCTGTCTCTATATTTTTTAATTAAGAACATTCTGTAGTCTTTCAGCTTCTAGATTTTCTTATATATCCATTCATTCATTTATTTTTGTGTTTAATTGGATTTGTAAAACTGCATTTATTATGGTGTGGCTGTTTGTAAATGATGTACATGTGGTGGGATTACATACTATGATGTATTTGCCAGAGAGAAAACTCCTATGCTTGGTACTCTCTTTATGATTTTATGTGAGTTCTAGGGATGTAAGTCAGCTGACCAGGTCTGCAAGTCTAGGGCCTCTACCCATTGAAACAACTTACTGGATCCCTGTTTATTGATTGACTGATTTCTTGATTTTGGTACTGGGCCTTGCTTTGTAAATCAGGCTGACCTGGAACTTCTTGCTCACACCTTAGCCTCCCCAGTGATGGTATTATAGAAATGTGCCACATCTCTTGTTAGGATGAAGTCCATTCTGATGGGGCAAGAAGCTGCCTTTTAAAACTATGGCTGTGAGGCAACTCAAGGAATCCTGAAGAAGCTAGTCATGGAGTATGAAAGAATGATGTATAGAGACAGCTTTGGGGAGGAGACATAAAGTTCCTGGTGCCTATCACAGATGTGAAATTATGTTACTAACTTGGCTGAAGTTGAATGATTCTGACATCCAAGGGTGCCCACTCACATGAGAATAAACACACATTCACACAAACACAGACAAAACACACTGTCAGACAGACACACAGACACAGACACACACACACATAGA